TGTAGTGACAGTATCAATAGCAGGGTCCTACTCTTTCGCTGGGTTCCCTCCTTCCCTCTCTACTAAACAGTGGGTGATTGCAAACTTCCTCTCAGCAGCCTTTGCTGCTGTCAGCTTCCTGGGTTCATACTAGCCCAGCCCACCTCTACTCAGGGGAGCTTCCCTCTAACCAAGGTTCTCCACTCAGCCTATATCGCCCTCTTTTGCTGCTCAGTTGACTGATTGGACCCTCTCCGAACCAGTGTGGGGAGTGCACCCCATCACAGAGCCCAGTCCGGTAGGTGAGGTCTGAGCACGCTTACCAGATCAGGCTCTGCAAGCGAGTTAGGTAGAAGAATCCCCCTCTTCCCACAGCTCATGCATCCTACTGGGGCTTAGGCTTCCAGATGTCTGGCATGTGGCTGCAGTGTGAGTGCACAGAGGTAAAAACGTAGGCACCTAGGGAACTCTTATTGCAAAAATATAGGTGCTAAGTGATTATTTTAGGAGCCTACAGGGCTTGGGGGCAGTTGAGCAGCAGTTTTGTGAATCCCCATGGGGCCTGATTCTGGGATTTAGGTGCCTAAAGTGGTTGTTAGCTCCTTTTGTGAATTGCAGCTTTTCTTGACTTGCACTTCTATTATGCACTACACCTGCACAGCATATACTGGGCAGCAATTGTAAGGAAAACCACACCTCAGAGTCACAGAAAACATTACTTACTGCTCAGCAATATATGAAACATTATCACATCTTAAGAGAATTCTCCAGAATGGGGAGCTACCACTTTGTAACAGGAAGGGACTGCAGGAAAAGTTACTCTTTGAGCCAGAAATTGCACCAAGTGAAATCCAAATGACAAAGAGTTAGAATAACTTCTCATCCGTAAATGCCAATTGGGAGAAAGCAGTTTGATGTTTAAGCCAAAGCATTTCAGGTCGCCTGGGAGGATCGGTACAGGAGAGACAAAAACAGACTTAGACTATTCATTCAAATTCAAATGAAATAACTTACCAAGAAAATTCTTGTTGAGGAGGAGGGACCCAGCTCCATCCCAGTAACGATCTACCAGCTCCAGGAGCTGCTGTAGGACGACAGCAATATGTGATGCTTTCTCAGTCTTTTTGGGACTTTGACTTTCTGTGAAACTCGTGTCATTGCTCAGATCATTGGGGACAGACTAAGGAGAAAAAGGCAAAACCAACTGTTTATTTTTCCAGATAAATTATGCAATAGATTTGCAAGCACCTAACTTATGTGCATAAACCAGGTATTTGTGCATGCATATTTCCAACTGGCACAGAACTGGCCAGGTGTACAGGGAGATACCTGATTTGTGTGAGAATGTAAACTTGGGGCACCTGAACTTACATGCACAATTGCATGAGGTTCATTTTGTAAAGGCCACGTGTACATAAAGATACATACAATCTAAATAAATCACATAGGGCTTTAAAAACGTAAAGGACATAAAACCCCTTTGAAGTTGTATGCTGCACAGAGGTACTACAAGTAAGATGGGTACTAAAAGAGATACCAAAAGAGACTACTGGGACCATGTAACTTCTCCTCCTGTATAATGCAAGCTAGAGAATTTCACACTGTAATTAATTCATCATCTGAAGAACATATGTTTTAGAAAGATATCTGATCTAGATTTAAAGACTTCAAGTGCTGGACAATCCAACACATTCCTTGGGAAGCTGTTCCAATGGTTAATTACACTTGTTCAGTGTCTATTTCCAAGTTGAATTTGTCTTGCTTCAACTTCCAGCCCTTGGTTTCTGCTTGATTAACAAGGGGTCTCTACTATTTTTCTTCCCATTTAGGAATTTACAGATCATAATCAAGTAGCCTCCTAATTTTTTTCATAAGCTAAATAGACTGAGCTCCGTAAGTCTCTCATTTCCAGTATTTGAATCAATCTCTTGGTTCTTCTAAGCCCTTTCCAATTTTTCAACATCCCTTTTAAAATGTGGACACTAGAACTGGACACAGGGTGTAAAATCCTGGCTCCACTGAAGTCAATAGTAGTTATGCCATATACTTAAATGAAGTCAGAATTTCACACAGTTTTCCAGTGAAGGTCTTACTAAGGCTTCTTACAGAGCTAATATAATCTTCCTACTTGATATTTCTCTCTTTATACATCAAAGAACTGCATTAGCCCTCTTACAGCATCGCACTGGGAGTTCACGTACAGTTGGTTTCCACCAGCTATGACCCTTAAATCCTTTTCAGAGTCACTGCGTTCCAGGACACAGTCTCCCAACCTGCAAGTGTGACCTACCTTTGTCCCTACCTGTCTGACCTTGTGTTTGGCCATATTAAAACAAATGTTTGGCTGTGCCCAGTTTACCAAGTGACCCAGATTGCTCATCGCTAATTATCATTAATGATCACCCAAGCAATATTTGTGTCATCTACATGCTTTATAAACAATGGTTTTATGTTTCCTTTCAAGAGCCCTGAGATATTGAGGAATTCCCAGCCTGTTCTCTTAGAACCTCAGAAAATTTACCATGGGGCACATAGCAGTGTGACCTTCTGGGATAATTCCATTGGCTTCCATGGAATTATGAATAAAACTGGTATAATGCAGTGGCAAATTAGTCCCAGTGTTAAGGTATATGGAACTAAGAAGACACAAGAGAGTAGACACAGGCCAAAACTAGATCTTCAGGAATTCACAAAATGCATACAATGGGAATCAGGACTAGCGTACAATGTTGGCATAAAGTCCCTGCTTGTGGTGTTCTGATTCCTAGAGTTTTAAGGCCAGGAAGGATCACTAGATCATCTGGTCTGGCCTCCTGCATATCACAGACCATTACATTTCACCAAGCTACCCCATATTGAGCCCAATAACTTAGGTTTGGCTAAAGCAGATCTTCCACAACGGCCTCCAGTTTGTAACTGAGACATTGAGAGATGGAGAGTTGACCATCTCCCTTGGAAGTTTGTTCCAACAGTTAACCACCCTCAATGCTAAAAATTTGTGCCTAATTTCTAACTTGAGTGTGTCTGGCTTCAGCTTCCAGCCATTGGTTCTTGTTCTGCCTTTCTCTGCTAGACAAAATTAGACCAGTATATTTCTGGTGCTACTCTGTGCACGCCCTCAACTATGTATTCCATGTTACAGCAGCCTGAGGTGCAGAACAGCAGCAGGCTTAGGACAGCTAGTATGGTGCAATGTCATCACAATCACTCCTCATTTTTGGTAGCCATGCCCCCTTCTCATCTACACTTACAACAAAGAGGACATGTGATGTACAGCCTCGTAGACGGCTGTAGACCACTGCACGCTCACACTTGTGCTTGGGTGAGAATCCCCAAACCACTTAGAAAATGTTTGTATCCAACTTATGCTGCCGGTGTAGTGCAAAGTGGCAAACTCCATCTCTAAGACTGGACATTCCATATTAAGGTGATCCCAGTGCTGCTAGGTTTGAACCCCCAAGTCTGCAAGATCCTGGATTCAAAATTAAGTGCTGCCAGGTAGTGTCAGAGGAGGATCTATTGCTTACTGAATTTGGGGTATTGTTTTCTTAGAGTACCTTTTTCATGTTATTTTACGTAACCCATTATAAGTAGCATTCTACAGTTTTGTAGTACACCTCTACCCAGATATAACGCGACCCGATATAACACAAATTTGGATATAATGCGGTAAAGCAGTGCTCGGGGGACGGGAGGGGGGGAGGGTGCACATTCCAGCGGATCAAAGCAAGTTCGATATAACACGGTTTCACCTATAACGTGGTAAGATTTTTTGGCTCCCGAGGACAGCGTTCTATCGGGGTAGAGGTGTATTTAGAATAATCCTACAAAAACATATCCACACCATAGCTTTTACAACCATTTTCTGTTACAAATAGGCATATTACAATGAGATGCCAATATAAATCGCCATTAAACGCATTTCTGTACCGCAAAGAGGCTAAATAGTAAGACACTTGCCTCCTTATTTGACTCTTTAAAACAATGCTGAGGGGACAGTGATGAATGCAGTCTGTCACTTTGTTTATACCCCATTCTAGAAGGGCTCAAGCACCTGTTAGCTGCAGAGTCGCTGTCTTTCCTAGGCATTGCAGATGGGAATGTTTTTCTCATTGTTGCTGGCTGTGAATGCTCAAGCAACGCATCAGCTGATAAAGGTTGATGCCTTGATGTTAAATCACTGAAGCTGGTAGATAATGTAGAAAAACGAGTGGCTAACAGAGCAGGGTCACTGGTTAGGTGTGTATTGGTGTTCAGATCTAGGGGAAGGAAAACAGGAATGCAGATTAACCATCTCAGACATTTTTATCCTCCTTTCCCCCCCTGTATCTTTCTGTGCTCTCCTCTAAGCAGTAACTCACATATACTTATCAGTAAAGGAAGGACTATGATTCTAACATAAAGTTTCAATGGGGTCATTCATATAAAACAAAAGCAAACCCAAAACACTGAGTGACTGTGTTTCTGGGAAGGGCAGGGAGGGGAAACAGCTGGGGCGGTGGATAGATGTAGGCCACGTTGAGTGAATATGTCCAGACCCGCCAAAAGATCAATGATCTGCAATGTGATTATAGAACCAACATTTTTACACACTGTCAAAAATAATCTAATTAAACAGATATTAATTCAATTTTAGGCAAAATGTGAGAGATGCATCACTTTGCAGACATCTTGTCTGAAAGGAGGGTGTAGTCTTATGAGGCTAGCTATGGAAAAGAGAGATGGGTCTACATGAATACCTTTGATAGATATGTTCCCTTAAAAAACCGTCCTAGTAAATTTAGCCAATGGAGATTGAGATTATGCTTCAAGATTCTAGCCTCCACCCCCTTCATCCACAGGAAGCACTGTATACACAAGCTGTAAATGAAACAATCCAAGCAAGAATTCCTAGTTATGTACACAACACTGTAAAGAAACTTGACACAAAAAATTAATCATTGAAAACAAAAGACTTTTGTTATCCCCTCCTTGTAAGTTGTTTAAAGGTACCAGACCAAGTAGCTGGTTATCCCCCACTATTGTTTGCTTTTGCAATGAAGACATTTGCAATAAATGTGAGAAACAGCCCCATGGTAAAGGGATCAAAATGCCTTCTGGATTAGAACAGAAAATAGCTTTGTACATGCTGACGAGGTCTTGTTTTTGCAGGCACGAGAAACCCTGTTAAAAATGAGAGAACAATGGACTTTGGAATGTGGGCAGGTATCAGGGCTTCCACATGAACTACAAAAAATCGGAAATGGTAGGAACTACTATTCCCCAAAGGGTCAAACCAAACTGTTGTCAGCTACGTACATTTAAATGGGTAAAGGAAGAAACATAAAAAGCATTACTGTCCAATGTGGAATAAAATAATAAAAGACTGGAAGGAATGGAAGAACTATGACATTTCTTGGCTAGGTAATATAGCCATGATCATCTTCTTGTCGTGTTCTCATATTGCTTCCCACCACGTCCATGCACATGCGACTGCTGATCACTGGAAGAGCATTTATTCTCAAGCTGCTGACATCACAGGAGATGCTTCATATTTTAAGGTTCTCTGCTACAGACACAGGTATTGGGGCCAGAAAGATATAGCCCCACTTGGGCATCACATTTTGTAGCTTAAAGTCATTTACGCTCGTAGGAAGTGGGATAAACAATTGACAAATGGCAGGGTAGGAGATACTTGCATGCTGGGAACCGGTCGTCTGTCCTTGACCATCGTGTCAAGGTGCTTGATTGGAAAAACCAGCTTGCCAAGAAGAAGTGGCAGCTGCAGAAGATGAGGGAGAAGCGGATGCCTCTTGTGATTTCTGCTCTTCTGTCTGGACAGGTCCTGGATACAAGGTATAAAAGCTGGATACCAGTGAGGATGCTGAGGGTGATACTGCTTTCTTTTTGTTGCTGGCATACAGATGCCCAGAGACTTAAGCGTTGCCCTTAAATATTTGAGGCTATACAGCCTATCATCTGTTTTGTCTGAAAACAGCAAAGGCCCCTCAGACGGGAGGCCTTAAATGGTCTGTTGAGTTGACCCTCTGGAGGACGGGAGCCATGAACACCTCTCCGTAGCAATGGCCATACCCTGAGCAGCAGAGTCATCCACATCGAGACTGGCCTGGAGAGCCCTCATCCACTATTGCAGCAGACTCCTGTTTCACTTCATCCAGCAGCCTGGTCTTCACCCTTTAAACATTTCCCACAAGGTAAAATCATAACGACCCAGCACAGCCTGCTGGTTTCCAATCCTAAATTGTAAACTTCCTGTGGAATACATTTTTCTTCCAAATAGATCCAATGTTTTTGCCTCTTTTCCTTTGGGCGTTGATGTCTGGTCTCTCTCTCTCTCTCATTAGCAGCAGAGAATACTAGGCAGCCTCAAGGGATCTGGGTATACAGATACCCAAACCCCTGCAAGGGGACACAGTACATCCTTTCTGCTCTCTTTACAGTAGGGGGAAGAGAAGATGGGGTCTGCCATAACACCTTGATGGGCTCAAGGATAGACCATTGATGGGAGGGCTACTCTACAGGAACCTGCCAAGGCTAAAATGTCCACCAGACTGTGTGACTTCTCACTCCATTTGAATATCAAGAGCTGTGGTCATCCTCTTCAACAGTTCCCAATGAGCCTTGTAGTCATGGGGCAGGGGAGAAGTATTGTCCAGTTGTGACAGAATATACACCCTTGTATTCACACCCTACACACGACTGTAATAAGCGTTGTACAAAGGTCATCCTCTTCAACAGTTCCCGATGAGCCTTGTAGTCATGGGGCAGGGGAGAAGTATTGTCCAGTTGTGACAGAATATACACCCTTGTATTCACACCCTACACACGACTGTAATAAGCGTTGTACAAAATATGCCTTGTAAGGTATCATTTGAACACTCAGTTTGGGCTGATCAGTATTCTCCTGGTAAAATGTGTGGCACCACTGTATGTGAATTTATAAAATTCTTCTGTATGGTGTTATTAACGGAAGATCTAAACCCCACAACACTGTCCAAACAGAAGTTTGCAAACAGGACTGTCCTAAACAAAGGAACGTGTGCTCTGCTGAATTTGCATTTAAGCAGTAAACAGAGCCATCAAGCAGGAAGGGAAGACAAAGAAAGGGCTTAGAAGAACCAAGAGATTGATTCAAATACTGGAAATGAGAGACTTACGGAGCTCAGTCTATTTAGCTTATGAACTTCGTCATATTCCTCAGTGAGTTCGATCAGAGGCACCTGGGCAGACATGTTTTGTCTCCTGGAGAC